CTCGCAGATGAATTGGTTGTTGAGTTTGCCAGACACATAGACGCGCTGCGTGGGGATAGCTACATACTGAAACCTCACAGGTTGATTTGTATTGGAGATTGCCGGACACCTAGACGTGTTGAGTGGGGATAGCTGCATACTGAAACCTCGCAGATGAATTGGTTGTTGAGTTTGCCAGACACATAGACGCGCTGCGTGGGGATAGCTACATACTGAAACCTCACAGGTTGATTTGTATTGGAGATTGCCGGACACATAGACGCGTTGAGTAAGGATAGCTGTATACTGAAAATCCACAGTAGCTATAGTGAGGGGACAATTCGAGAATGCAGTACACATAGACCCGACCCCCAACCAGTACCCGAACCCCCCCTGAAAAATAGAGGCCATGCGCCCCGCCCCCCCTCTACCCCCCCCAGAGGATGAGGAGGGTACAGTCCAAAGTAAGCACAAGCTTACCTAAGGTCAATGGCTATTGGTACGGCATTAAGAAAAATACTAAAGTCGCCCATTGGGCGGTGGAGGACTTAGAGCTAAGACACCCCAAAACTCTCCGGCGTGAGATCCAAAATGGATCGAACGGTGGACGGGGGGGGGTTGTTCGTTGCTTGAAGTGGATCAACAAAACATAGAGCCATCAAAGTAAAAAAAAAAACTTATTGCTCACGTCGAGCAAGCTGAACGACCAGACCAACCACGCAAAAACTGCGGAGCTAGATGTGCGGCACGCACAATGCATTGTTTTCGATTGGAGAGAGGCGAGTATAAAGCAGTAAGGAATTGTTGGCCAAACTTTCGGCAGATAGGTCTACTCGGAAGCGTAAGTGGGGTAGCAACCCATGGTGGAGCGTACATGAGAAGCTGGACGTTGGTGTACGCCCCATCCCGGCGTGTGAGTAGGATCTTAGGCTATGCAAGTCGTCCCTGAACTTATTGTGGTGAAAATGACCTCCCAGGAGGAAAGTAGCCTGTACCGCGGGACTTCGGAGATGATAAATTGGGTGGTCGGGGGACGTCTGGGTGTTTACTAAGCAGAGCGCCCGGCGCAAGAATGGGGTACTTGTGTCAGGAGGTGTGAACTTGGATCTAGACTACGAGCCTATGTTGGAGGCGCTATTTAGCGTCGGTGAGCCGGCAAAAGAACT